TGTTGAAAATTTAAATTTTTCTTGTTTACATTGATTATTTGCATTATTAGTTAATAATGATTGAATACTGTTCATTGTCAAAAGATTATGATTTCCTGATGTTACTGTTGATGGTGATTGTTCATGTAATGGTAATGTAAGATTTGAATGAACTAATGAATGATCATATGAAGAAAGTGAAGTTGATTTTTCAATTGAATTATTTGGTGTATTAGAATTTGATAATGATGATGTTGCTAAATGATTTGATGATGGTGGTTGCATTGAACCTAAGAATTTTTTACGATATTTTTTAACAATATTTTGATATTTTCTATTAGCTGCTTGTTGAAGAAGATTTGCTTGTTGTATATGTGATTGTTGTTCATTTATTTGATTTGTATTTGATGATGAATGATCTGGACTAATAAGAAATGAATTTGTTGTAAGTTTATCATCATTACCATTTGTTATTGTATGTGGTGTTGATGATGGTGTTGCATAACGATTACGTGCTAAACGTAAAAATGGTAAACGTTCTTGTTTTGATATTAAATGATGTTTTTTTATTAAATGATCTGTTAAATTTAAAACCCATGTATCACAACGTGGACATAATAAACGTTTTTTACCATCAACAGGTAAATAATTTGATGATTGATTATCAATAGGTGATGAACTTGCTGGTGTTATTGTTGTTGTTGTTGACGGTATTGTTGTTGTTGTTGTTAATGATGATTGATTTAATTGTTGATTATCTGTTTCACTGATTGGTGATGATGGACATGTTATTTGTTGATTATTTGTATTAATACTAATTGGTGTTTGTTGTGGACTTTTATCCACAGCTATTGATGGTGTATTTATTGGTGAACTACCACTAACACTTGCTATTGATGGATGATTATGATTATTATTATTATTATTATTATTATTATTTTGATCTGTATATGCAAGTAATGTTAACATTTCATGTCGTTGAAGATTATGTGTTACAGTAAGATGATGAGAAAGACGTGAAAAATTTTTTTCACCACATATTGGACAACATTTTCCACGTCGATAACCTGATGTTTGAGAATTTGAGATTCTAAAAGAAAATGATGAGTTTTCTGTTTTTTTTTGTTTTATTATGTATAAACATACGTTGATAATGTATGATTGGGAGTTTTATTCGTTTCTTCATCAATTGTTAATGGTTGTTCTTGAAGATGTTCACTATCCGAAGAATTTTCATCATAATTTCGATTAACAAATACACAAACAGGTTCAGATTTAACTGTATTTGTACTTAAATTCCAACAACCATTTTCATTTAACATTGGTGTATTACCTTTTTTTCAATAGAAAAAAAAAATAGTAAGTTTTAATTTTTTCACAATAAAAAGTCATGTCTTTTTTTTTAAATTTACCATTAGCTACAGATGGTGTTGATGTGATTTCAGATCGAAGATCAACTGGTGTTGGTATTTCATTTTCATCAGATAACTAAATAAATTAAAAGAAAAATGAATTTCTTGTTTTTCGAAATCAAATTATTTTACTTCATCTTCATCTTCTTCACTACCCAATTGTGGATATGTTATAGTATAACCATTATCATCACATTGTTCTAAATTCTCATTAACCATGGAATCATCACCATTAACACTTGTTTTACGTAACATAAAACGTTGAAAATCATCAAGATTATTTAATGATGAAGTATTTTCTATCATTCCATCATCATCATCTTCATCATCATTTGTATCATCAATAAATATTGCTCCACCTGTATTTTCATCGGATGACAATTGCATGAATTCATCATTACCATTAACCATTGTTTCATTCATTCCATCATGATCATCTTCACCATCAACTGAACGTTTAGCACGTTTACCCAAACGTATACTATTTGTTAATATACGTGATATTGATGCTTTACTTAATACACGATTTGATGTACGTTGTAAACGCATTTGTATTTGACCAATTGTTATTAATGGATGACGACGTTTCATTTCTCGTATCATTTCAGCTTCATCTTCTGTTATAAAACGAAGACGTGTACCAGCACGTTGTTTTGCTGACACACGTCCCTCATCAATATATGTTCGAAGAATACTTCGAGCTAGAAAAACAAAAAAGAAACATAATGAAAGAAAAAAGTCTTTTTTTTATGTCAAATATGAGTTATGTATATTATCGGAAAAGCGTAAGATATTAATAAACCATAAAAGAGTATTAAATGTCTATACGCTATAAAAGTAGTTTGTTTTTTTTTTTCTTTCTCACCTGTTGATCGTTTAATATTAAGTTTTTTTGCGAGTGCAATAAAATCTTCTCCTTTTTTATATGTATCAATTAATAATCGACGATCAACATCACTAACACGTACATATCTTCCACGACGTTGATCGGCTAATTGTTGTTGAATATCCAATGAATTCATAATTATTTTTTTACGTCTAAAATATGAAACAGCTGTTTTCCACTTCAAAAACAAAAAAGAAAATCTGACGCACACACAGCCTAATGTAGAAATGATTTTCCAATGAGAAATCTCTTTGAATAACAAAAAAAAAACCTAAAGAAAGAAATCGTTGCCCTTTTTTCATCAAGTTGCTATCGTCGAAATGCTCTTTCGCATTTCGGTGTATGTGTAGGCCAAAAAAAGAAAAGAGAGATAGCGTAGCTGAGGGTGACTTTAACTCTCGAGCATTCGTTCTGTTCCCTTTTTTTTCTCGTCTACATATATATATATATATATATAAATGTATGTGTCTACATAAAGACGAACGCACTTCTATTGAAATTTTCATTGCATCGCGTTCTTTTCTTTTTTCTTTTGTATTTACTTTGTATACCTTCGTTGAACGGACAAGAGACATTCGTTGTAGTAGTAAGGTTCGTTTTTCCCGCTTCATACCCGTTTGTTCCCTGATGTATGTGTATGTTCTTACCTCTTTTTTTCCTCCTCTGTCTTTCTCTCTTTTAAATATATGTACACCTTTCTCTCGTCTCTATTTCATTCAACATAGAACGAACATTAAAATGAGCGAAAGAACACAAGACGAATTTTCGTATATTGATGATGATGGTAGTAGTGGTAGTGTTGATGGTGGCGGTAGTGGTCGAACGGACGATAGGCTTCAATGTGCTTTTACTATATATATCTAGATTCATCATTCTCTTTCTCTCTAGACGTGCTCTTCGCATTTGAATACATGCGAATATAATACTTATGCTTGCTCAAAGAAAATACAGTAGAAGAAAGAGAACGACAGCGAATATTGTTTGGTTTGTTAGGGTAACATAAGAAAAGAAAAATAAAGAATCCGAGAATGAAACTTTAATGGACGTTGATGTGACAGGACACGGCTAAAAAGTTGAGAGTTACCTATTGAAAAAAAAATATGCAAGTTTATAAGCAAACGATTTTTTTTTTTCTTCTTTTCTCATTCGAATTTCGATTAAAGTCTCGATTAAGAAGCCTTTCATGGTATTTCAGTATTTCCAATAAAAAAAAAGCCGAAATAGAGTAATTTATTTTGAAATTTTCATTAAACGCAATTTGAGAAAATAACCTATGACAAGAAAAAGGTGGTGTTTTTTCTCTTCTTCTATTTTATATCCATAGAGTAGAATGCGTCATGTTTCAAATCATGATTGATATTGATAAGATAACGATTATATTCTGATAAGTAAAAAAGTTTCATTCATGAGAAAGGTAATCGACTTATCCTATACTTACGAAGAATAAAAACAGGTGAATGAAAAGAAACGTCTATGTCCGAAGTCTAAGCCAATCTACCATTCGTTGATGTCCTTTATTCTACATATATATATATATACGTACGCATATATATATATACTTCATCTCTCTCTGTATTGTGTGTGAGTGAAAAATGCTTGTGTATGTGTGTGCTGAGAAGCGAAGAGAAGAAAAGGAATCTCAAAGACGGAACACTACACTACACATTCGTTTTCTCGTTCTTTTACTTTGCTTGCTTGGCGAGCAAAAAAGAGGAGTAAGAACACACACATAAATACGAAGAGTAAAGAGAGAAATGTTACGGTGAAACACTTTTAGCCATCATCACTCTACCAACAAACGGCTGTGCGTTGGCGAGAAAAAAAACCGAAACAAGAGAGAACGTGAAATTGACGACGAAATAGTTGCTGACGGACGTGCCTATTTACCCAGAGCGAATACTATCAAGGTGTTTTCTTTTTTTTCCTTGCTCCTCCTTCCACATACACATACACAAAAGCTAAGTAGAAAGACTATTTGCTTTATATTTCGTTCGTGCTCTTTTTCGCCTTTTCCTCTCCAGCTCTCTTCTTTCACTTTTTCGCTTATATAGACGATGTGGATTCATCATTATTACAAATGCGAGACGTTCGTTCGTGTTGTATGCTCTGTCGTTCTCTCTCTTTCGTCTTCATGATTTGTATTTGAGTAAATGTTAGCAATTTCATTTTATGTATATACACATATATGTCTTGTCCTCAATCGACAATGATGATGATGATGATGAAATTAGCCCTCCGGAAAACATAAACCCCAACATGAAGAACATTAAAAAAAAAGAGAAAAAGATTGACATATTTATGCGATAATCAATTTTTAACTAATAATACATTTTTCGTGATCATGAATATATATTTAAGTGATAGTTGTACGTTTTTTTCGCTTTCTGCTTCACGAATATCGTTAAAACAATAATAATATCGTTCGTACATATTAGAGAAAGAGAACGAGATTGAGAAGAGTAGAAATGCAAACATCACTCAAGTGTATATATATGTACCCAAAGGGGTACATGAACAGAACAAAGTAAAGAAACTATTGTTTTCCCGAACATTGATGCTGATCAATAGAAAAGTACACACACACATATATCTAGAGAGAGAACACTTGTATCAAATATCCATTTATAATGGTTCAAATGAAATGAATTGAACTATTGATAAGAATATAGAATATATTAAATACTAATAGAAATTTATTAGAAAAAAAAAACAATTCTAAAACTTTATTTAAGTTCTCGATCATTAAGATTCAAAAGATCTGGACGTGGCCGACGTCGTCTGACGGGTACTGTAGAAAATTTTTTTTGTTTAAGTTCTATCATAAGTGAATCCATGAAATTAATATCTACTAATTTATTATTTTTATCATTATTTATATTAAGTTGTTGAGATACTGATTTAGTTGAATTTAATAATATTTTGTTCGATGTTGAACGTTTTTCTTGTTCCTAAGATATTTAAGAAAAAAAAGAAATACAATTAGATAAAGAAAATTTATTAATTTATTTCAAAATTTACTTTTTTTTCTTTTTCAACTTTTTCAATCAATTGTCGAAAAATAGTACAACATATATCATAGTTAAATTCATTTGAATCTGTTTCACCAAATTCTTTCATTAATTCTATTTCTTGTTTTTCACATCGATTTACTAATGGTTCAAGACTTTGATTTAATTTTACAGTTGATTGCTATTTAAACAAAAACAAAAAAAATAAAATAAAATTTTGTTTTGTTTTGTTTTGTTTTCCATACTTCATAAAATGGTTTATATTGTTCAATGATTTGTTTATCTTCCATTGAATTTATTTGTATAAGACCATTATCAATCTTATTTTTCCAATCTATATATCCTACTTTTAATAATTTTAATCTAAACAAAAAACAAATATTTATTTTTGAATAAATTTTAAAAATTTTGTTTTTTTTTTTTTGTTATGTTACTGTATATCATCGGCGAGCAATAGTTTAAGATTACCAATGAATTGAAAATTTTCTGGTGAATTTTCAAGAAGAACACTGAGTAAATTTTTATTATCACTTGAACGAATATCATGAAGTTGTTTGAGAATATCAAGTCGAAAGCCAAATGCATTACCAGCATATGAACCCTAAGTGGGAAAAAAAAGAACATTTTTTATTGAATAGTTTTCAATGAACACTTACATAATTAAGAAAGTCTCCAACTGATAGAAGTGAACGAGCTAATTGTTTAATAGATGAATCATGTTGTAGAAAATCGATTACTCTTATAATATGTTCATATTTTCGTTTGAAATCATCAAATATTTCATCAAATTCCGTAATAAGGATACGTGTTTGAACACGAAATCCATAATATGAAATCGAACCAATTTGATGGATGAATTCTTCTGGTAATGTCCAATTTTCTCGTGGATGATCATGAACAAGATTAATCTATTAGATTGAATAGAAAACAAAAATGAAGAAAAATAGTTGTTTTTTGTTTTATTTTCATAAATTTACTTCATCTTCACTAGGTAAAACTTTAAGTAACATACGAAGACATTCACCATTAAGATTTGATTTTGAATCTTGAAGAGACTGTACAAATGATTGGAGTTCAGTAACTTTGAATTTTTTCAAGAAAACATTTATAGCAATTGATCGATTACAAGGTAAAATCTATAAACATATTTAAAAAATATCAATCTCAAAAAATAATCTTGCGTCTTACATTCGTTGTTTTAGTTTTCGTTTGCATTGGTGTATTACTACTTTCATTACCAACTTTAAAACAATCTTCAAGTTGTGAAAAATCAATTTGCGTATCAACCTTTTTATTAACATCCATCCAAAATTTACTAGTAGCTAGATGATAATAAGAACTTAATGGTAGAATAAATATTCAAAGTATCATACATACTAATAATAGTTTGCGGCAGCTTTTTCCATTGTAATCGTCGTACTTTACCTTTTGGTTTAGGAATACTATCAACTAAGTTAGAAAGGCCAGCAACAGATGGTTTGCCACCAGACTGTCCAAGGGTTGAAGAAGATAGTCCTCCTGGAAAGCCTGGTGGTGGTGGCGGCAGAGGAGGTCCTCCGAGAAAGCCTGGTTGTGGTGGCGATCCTCCGAGAAAACCTGGCAGTGGTGGTGGCGGCGGCGGTTGAGATCCTCCCAGAAAACCTGGCAGTGGTGGTGGTGGCGGCGGTGGAGATCCTCCCAGAAAACCTGGCAGTGGTGGTGGAGGAGGTGGTGGTACTTCTGTGCCGCTTCGTGATGTTGATATAGGAGAAGAGTCTACTTGCATATTAGCTGGAAGCGGAGGAATAATTGTTTCAGGAACATATGGTTCGTTTAAAGGTGATTGAATATTGATGGATTTTTCTGTATTAATTAATAAGAAAACTGATTGATTATTGCTAGGTTTTACGAAGGGTTTTTCATTGGTAACAACTGGAGTAACTGTTGGAACTTGTTGATAAATAGAGGAAGATTTAGTATCGAATTCAGAAATTGCATCTGTTTGTGATGCTTGTTCGATGATTAGTTTTTGTTCTGAAGATTTTTCTGTTGGTTGAGAAATAGACTGAAGAATAGATTGAAGAACTTTTTGTCTAGCAAATAATTAAATAGAATAAGATTTTAGAATTTATATATGTATATATGTTACATACTGTTCATTGGAATTTGAAGATGTTAAAGTAGAATATAAAAGTTGCATTGCTGTAAGAAAAAGAGCTGATTCATTTGAATTAGGTGCTAACTAAAATAAACAAAACAAGAAATAAAAAAAGATATAAATATTCTTTTAATGACAAACTTGTAATTGAATAGCTTGATAAACAGCTTGATTATCATTGATATCAAAATGTCCTAAAAATTCTTCTTCATCATGTTTTTGATCTTCAAAAAAACTATCAATTTGAAAATTAAGATCAACATCATTATCATTTCGTGCTTGTTCTAATATTGATATGATACCATTTGCTAGAAGATTTTTTTTTTTTGTTTTGAAACAATTTAAAATTTAAAATCAATTTCTTAACTTACAATAAAGTATATTTCTATATGACAGACGTTTTTCAATGGTTTCAGTTGATGATAATATACTATTGAGTAAAGCAATAGCTGACCATTTATGTTTAGCCATAACAGCAAATTTAAGTTGTTCAAGAATAACAGCAAATACATTTGATAATTTATTATTTGTCTTAAATAAAACCAAAGAAAAAAAACACACAGTTAGTTAGCTAATTTTTCTTTTGTGTATGCTTTATATTATAATGTCTAATGGACATTTACACTAATTAGTTGATTAGTCTTAAAATCACAAAAAAATCACACTGAACAACTAAATATACCTTCTCAAGAGCTTGATTGTTCTGAAATTGTTTTTTTTTTTTTATTTTATTTTATTTGTTTCAAATCAGTAGAAATTTTAGAGCTATGTACTTACTTGAAAATCTTGTAATGCTCTAAGAACTAATTCATAACCATCGTGTGAATAAACACATAGTGCAGTTAATAATTCAAATACACGCATACGAATTTCAGCTGATGGAACACTTAAAACTAAAGAGAAAAAGAAAAATTTTCCATTGAAATAATTTCAAATTTTTACCTTTTGCTAAAGAATCAATATATTGTGGATTTGATGCAATATGTTCAAATAATTCACTAATATTCATCATAGCACGAAGACATTGTATTGTTTCATTAATAAGTATAGCATCAACAAGGGATAAATTTTTATGTGTAATTTGTTCAAGGTAAGAAAGTAATGTATGTAAACCACCTTCACGTGCAAATTCAATAGTCCATGTTCGATTATTTGAATCTAATAATTTCTTTTTTAATAAAACACATTTCATAAATGTTAAATCATTAAAAATGCTAATAGCTTCTTCATATGTTGAAAATAATTGTTGATCATTTTTTATACGTTGTTTTTTATCACGAATTTGTTCAATTATACGACGTATTGAACGAATAAATAAATCACGTCCTCGAATTGGTTTGATAATTGCTTGTTGACTTATAAAATGACGAAATGAATCTGGACGATATGATAATCTGAGTGGTGTAAGACTATTTTTGGGTGATGTTATTGAAGAATTAAGTAAATTAGTTACAACAGGTGGTTGTCGAGGTGTTAGAGTTGGCGGCGTGTATACTTGTCGCATAATTAATCTAAATAAGAGGTAGAACGTGTAATTTCATTAAAAAAAAATATGATAAAATAAGATACTCATTGAAAAATCCCACATATAAATATAACATAGGTAAAAAAGAAGTGATCAAAAATTTTTGTAATGTTAAAAAAAGAAAATATGTGCTCTTATCAATAACCCTTCGTGTTATCATAGAAAAGAGAAAAAAGACATCATGTGGACTCAATAAACCAAAAAATAAAAAATAAACTAACTAGAAATTATATTTACTTTTCTAAATAACTGATCACTTTGTTTTGGTTTTATTCTATTTGTTATTGAAGATAAACAGACTAATATACAATAGAAATTTTGAAAAATAAAAGAAGATAGTTGAAAAATATCTTCTAACGACTCAATTGTATCTGTTCTGTTTGACTGTGTTGACTCAATTTCATTTTTCTGTCCTGCATACCCATATATATATATATATGTATATGGGTGAAATAAGTGAATGTGCAGTAGCATTAGTGATAAGAAACAATTTCGTTACCCTTGAGACGATCATTTAACTTACATTTTTGACAAAAAAAAAGAATGAAAAAAGTAGGCGTGTTTTATGTTTCGCTGACTCATCTTTGATTTAGTCATTTCGTTTGCATATTTTTGTTTTCGAGTGATGCTCGAAGCAATATATTGTCATTATTTGATGTGACTGTCAATAAAAGGTAAGAATAATATGTTTACTAATAAAGTGCATAAAAGAAAAAAAGAAACTATTTTCTATAACTACTGTGTTTACCGTTTTTATTCTCAAGAAACAATCATTGATTGAGTAACAAAAAAATTTGAAAATGATTCAGTTCGAAGTCTATTCAAAGTTAGTCATTAATATTTACATCAAAACAAAATTCCAACATCAAGAATAGTTATTCATTGGATCTATAAGACATTATTTTTTATTTTTTATTTTTTTTGATCATATATAAAAAGAAAATGTTCAAGAATGAGATTCAAAAAACAAACAATAGCACTCTTTATAAAGAAATAGATGTACAACGAATTTATTCAATGTTAACAATAGTTTAGTTCATTAATTCAGGGGTTATAGCTCTCGAAATTGAAAAAAACTACGCATGACAATCCTTTCAAGAAAAAAGATTCAGCATTTAGGTTAAAGTCAAGATATTGTGGAATTTTTTTCTAATATTTCTATTTTATATAATATGTACATACATAAAGGAATCGATTAATGATGGTGAGTTAAAAATTAAAGTGTATGTTGCTTGATAAACAATGTGCTTCTTTTTGTTCTTGCTTTCATTTTTGAAAAATATTTTTGCTTTCTCTCCATATATTTAATCCCATCATATGGAGATTCAAAGCTGCTATTGTTGATACTTCTAATCGAGTTTACCCGACTTGCGAGAGGGTATAGGTGAAGTACAATGATGGATGTGCAAATTTAAAATATTTCGAATTTCTTGTATTAAAAAAGTCTTGCGATTAGGGTTTGTTGTTATTGAGAAAGAATATTGCCAATTTTCTTTCTTGTGAATGAGCTAGATGATTGTTTTTGACTACAAAATTTTTTTAGTAAAATAAACGCTTGTTAATCATCTTTATTGAGTGTATGATTTTAAAAATCCAGTCCCTTTGTTATCCCACTTTGATATATTGATTACTTTAAACTAAATCTTTACAAATGTACAGAAAAATTCCAATGTCATTATATCTAATTTATTAAAATTTAATTTGATTTAGAATGTAGAATTACTATGTCAATAGAAAATATAGGTATAAACAAAGATAACGTAGAATTATTGGTACTCTACAACTATTCTAAAACGAGAGCAGTTAGGATAACCATATATACTTCCGAGAATGACTTGCGAAAGGTTTCAACGGGACATGGTTCGTAAAAATGGATCACATACCGTAGTTCTGTGTTGCAGGACGACAATACAAAACTTGCTGTAGTCAGAAATCGTAAAGAATTTTATAATATTAGTACAACTGAAGTGCCTATAATAACTTCTAATACGAAGCTAGCTGGTTTGCAAGTTCAATTAATTGAAAATAATAAAAACTAAAGAAGGGTGCGTATGGGTGTGGAGGCTACGGTGTGTGCGAGATTGTAGATCGCCTCCTCGCTTACTCACACCCTCTATTCATGGGTAAATTGATATTTTCTAAAAAAATGAATAATTCTTTTAATGATTGAATCTGACAGGGATTTCTTCAAAAAAGTAACCACGCTATACCGAAATAATGGCTGCTTGTTTTGTTGCTGTAAATCGCAAAAGTTAAGTGTCAATCTATCAGATGACTGAAGACAGAAAGAAACTGCAAATTACTCATTGAGAAACTCATGACTAAGAAAATTCTATTAATAGTTATAAACATGTTTGAAAGGGGGCTACACCTTGAAAAAGGACATTTGTAGTGTATTGAATCTGAAAAAGTTACTTCATAAGAGTATTTGAGAAATCCATATTATTGAATAAAAACTTTGAACTTTCCTCTATCATCAATACAAAAATTAGTTAATCCAAAAGAACCATCATGAAATATAAACTTTCTTTTCATCAATGATTTTTCAGAAGCCCTATACTTAATTTAATGTTTTGAAATAAAAGAAATAGTAATTTTTACACCAATTTGAAAAAGTCGATAAAAACACATCTATTTATATCCTAGATTCTTAGCGAGATGGTAACAAAGCAATATTTCGACTGTCTCACGGCCCTCTGTTACTCTTTCTATTTCAAATGCGGCAGTAATTCAAGTAAAGACAGAAACAACTCATTCAATCTATGACCATTCTCTTCTCTTTTTCTTTTGCTTATTCAATAAATTACTGTTACATTGAAGAAGAAAAAATGATTCATTGCACAAATCAAAAAATTTTTTTGCTTCCTCTCTTTTCTTTTGACCTTTTAGAGAGCTCTATATTCGATACCAGAGATGTCTATAGTGGCGCTTCCACTGCCGCTCCCACCGCCGCGTCGCCACCGCGGTGGCGGTAGCGGCAGGTTTTTAAAAAAATCGTCGCGGTAGCGGTGCGGCAGCGGCAGCATTTTTTTTTGGAACATTTTAAAACTGTGTGCATTTATAGAATTTCTATGTTTTTCAAACAAAATAGCTTGCGACTGAATGAATCTAATGGACACGTACCAATATTTCTGATTAAATACAGTCGCAGCAGTGAAATTCAACACAGTGTTTTGAAAACCATCGCGGCAGTGACGCGGCAGCGGTGCAGCAACTATTTTTAATAATTCGCCGCGGTGCAGCAACTATTTTTAATAATTCGCCGCGGTGCAGCAGCGGCAGGTTTTCAACCGCGATGGACATCTCTGTTCGACACGGAGAAACTCTCCTTGTTGAATCACACTCTATACCGTGAAGGTCTTTTACTGACAATACATGTTCATCATATCGAAATGGGTGCGTTACTTTAGCGGTGAGCAGCGTTCCATTGTGTTTCGAATGAAACATAACTTCTGTATACGTACATGTTCGTACCTTTCTATATAAAACAAAAGAAAATTACTCTTATTTTCGTTCATTTTATTTGTTCGAACAAAACAAGAAGGAAAATGACATTTTCAATTTTACACGTTCGAGGTTCTTCCACAAAAGTAGAAGACTAGGATGATTTGCAGGTACTGAACGTTGTAAAATAGTCAGTGCACGCTCATAAAATGAAAGTGCCATTGAATAGTCACCTGTGTTGGAATACGCCAAACCAATGTTGTTGTAAGAAGTATCCAAACTCGGATGATTCGAAGGAAGAATTTTTTGTTCTATTTCTAGTGCTTTTTGATAATATGAAAGTACATTCGAATATTCAAACATCTTGAAATACGCTGAACCAATATTGTTGTAAGAAGTAGTCAAAAAAGGATGGTTTGAAGGAAGAGCTTTTTGCTGGATTGCCAGTGCTTTTTGATAGTATGGAAGTGCATTAGAATAGTCACCCATATTTTCATACATGAAGCCAATGGCGTTGTAAGAACTAGCTAAATTGGCATCCATTGGTGAGACAATCTTCTGAAGAATTTTGTTTGATTGTTGAACATAGGCAATGGCATCTGGATATTCACCGTGACCCGCTTTGACAATCGCGAGACTATGATAAATAGTTGCTTTTTCTTTTTCAGTCGACTTTTGAGCAAGCAGGGTATCACATATCTCTTGAGCTTTGTTGAATTGTCCAAGTTTAATTAGCAACGTATCCAAACGATTCCAGCCTTCGAGATCAAGAAAAGTCTCTTGGTGCAATTGTTCAGTAAGAGTATGGCGTTCTGGATCGTTGTCAGTATTAAATCGACTTGCCAAAAATGATTATTTCCTTCGATTTGTTTCATAGCTCCAAAACGAAAAACGGAACGCATTGAGAAAAGAATTTCTTTTTCTCGTTTTACATAACTAACATCGTGGACGTCAGCAAATTGAATTAACCCGATGGGCGGATGAATCGTCATGACGAATAAGATACCAACAAGATCGAATGTTTGAATCATTCTACGAGCGAATCTGAGTGAGACTTGAAGGTTTCCACTGTAACCACGATAAGCAGTAAAGAAATTGGACGTTGAATGTCCAGCAAACTGTTGTGCATAAAGTTTGATGATGTTGTTGTGGAGTCCTCGGATGAAAAATCCCATTTTAATGATGATATCAACCTTCATCATGCGTAACAATCGATTTAACATTGAATAAAAGAAAAGATTGATACGTATACTATCATATCGGCACATGTTCATGGTATTCTTGTTGGATTTTGTCTAAATTTTTGAAGTCCTCTTGGATTCGTGGCAAATAATTGACGACAGTAAGTAGTAAATTCATCAATATATTGTTGTTTGAAATCGATGGTTAAGAAAATTTCTTTCATTATTTGTGTGTACATAAATGATGAATCCAATTCATCGAGGTTTTGCTTGCTGCTTTCACTAGATGAGGAAATAAAGCTGATCGGAATCATGTTTTGATCACATTCTTGTGCCGCATGTTGAAGATCTTTA